AGAGACTCAGAGAGGCATCATGAGCTGAATTGAATGAATGTGTTGCGTTTTGTGTCTCACGACACAATCACAATCCATCACCTAACCCGTCACGGATTTGGTTTCAGCTAGAAGTGTTCACGATTGTCCTTTGCCCTAATCGTCTCGATTCATTTTTAATGATGTTGGGACCAGACTTTATGGGATATAACAAAAATATGTTCAAAATGAGAGAGGACATGGAGTCATCATTGAGATGTCTTGTTTCGTCCTGGATATATTATTATATTTTTTTTGTTTTCTTTTATTAATATTTAATATTTATTTTTGAGTATATATTTTTGTTTGTTTATTTTCTTTTCTTTTTACATATTATGTCTAATCACTTACGTTAGTCAATGATTATACTGTTATAGTATCTATAGCATGCAGGTCCTTTGCAGTTATTGTGTAATTGATTTTAAATTATGATTGTTATAATTGTGTTCTTTTACTTTAAATCATAGTTATTGTGACTTAATTATTGAATTCATGTATTTATATTGTTTTGGTTTTGAACTTAGTAAATTATATAAGGAAAAATATAACTTTAGGTTCGTACACTTTACTTGTGTTTTGCTTTAGGCCTATGCATTTTTTTTAATATTTTAGGTTCTTATACTTTTATTTTTTATTATTTTAGGTTCCTCCCTAAAACAATAATAAAAAATAAAATACAAATACCTAAAACGTCTAAAAAAGTATAGGGACTAATAGAAAAATGTAAGTAAAGTACAGAGATCAAAAATTATAATTTTTCATTATTTAATTTAATAAATATCATTATATAGGCCTCTCTTTTACATTTTATTTTGTTTTGTTGGGATATCCTCGTCTCGTCTTATCCCATCTCAATTCCAAAAAATATGAAATGGAACATGAGATAAAAATTTAATTTAATTTTTATTTTTTTAAGATGAGATAGTGGATAGTGATGACCAATCATATCTCATCCAAAGAACACTCCTATTTCAACACTAAAGTATGAACCCTTCAGGTTAAATTTTTAATTATAATCCAGATTTAACTTTTTTTACTTTTTATTTTTAAAAAAATTATCTTAATAGATATATAATTTTTAATAAAAATAATCTTATAATTATCCAGATTTGTAACTTCAAATTTAAATTATTTAAAATAAAATTGACTAGTTCAAATTTTTTTCATAACAATAAGTATCGTGATGCTGATCACGTCATAGCGTCACAGTCAGTACCGACCTAAAGGACTCTTCAAAAGTGATGCATTTCTAATTTCTATTTCCGCATCAGTTTCTTTTTCTTTTTCTTTCTTTGTGTGTTAATTCACTCTAACAAAATCGATCAATTAGAAAGGGTTGTGAATTAATTTAAAAAAGATTCTCATGCTTCACATGCTAAGACTATATGTTCTACTAGTATCTGGAAGTTTTTAATTTTGAGAAGGGTACTTATTAATTCCCTACCAAAATCCTTATCTTTCACCCTCAACTGTGTATGATGTAAGACATTTTTAAAAAATCTTACTTGATTTGATATTCTCTCTGTTCAAAAATGTAAGGCATTTTTTGAGGTGTTATTTAAAAATGTAATATATTTTTAATCTTTTAAGGTGTCATCATTACCTTTTTTTAAAAGTACCCTATTGATAATGACTTTATATTTATTATAAGTTATTTAATATGGGTAAATATGAAAAAATAAAATTAGTTAAAAAATAAATAACTATTTTATTGAGGTAAGATTCAATTAAAAATGTCTTACATTTTTAAATGGAGGGAATACAGAATAGTGGTTAGCTCTGGCTCTTAATGTTAGATCTCAGTGTCACAGCTATGGAGCTGGCTTCCCCCACCTCTGCACCTCTCCCATACCGATCTAAACTGATAGGATTAAATCTAAATGTTTAAATTTAATATTTTTTATTTTAAATTTATTAAAATAAAAAATTTACAGAACTGTTCATATTAAAATTAAATTGTCCAGATTTTTAAATAAATTTATTAAATTTTTTTATAATTCATATACATTTTTATATAAAATTAATAAATCTTAACTGTCTAAATTAAATCTGAATGACCTATATATGCGCTAGGGGGGTGCGAGGAGGGCTTCCCTCAGCTCACGCAACTATCAGCCTCTTGTTCTTTCTCCCACTCTAGTCTCGGAGCTCGTAGCTTCTTTCAATATCAAGTATTGCACTATTGAAGCCAAAATAATTTATGAATTCAGTTGCTAAAAAAAAATGTCATTTGTAATTATATTAGTTTGTTGGAGCCTATTAGTGCCAAAATAAGCAATTAATGTTGTGTATATTTTTAAAATTAAAAAATATTGAAAATATGCCAAAGGGACATAAAGCCCGAGCAACTTCAATGGTCGAGCTTTGTTAGCATATGATGCATTTTTTATAAATGAGCTTTTTAGATAGGACTAGATCATCCCATTTTCTCACATCTAATTTTGATATGCAATACTCTTTTTGATCTTATTTATAAGTTACTTTTAGCATGTTTCATCAGAATTAAAAAAAATTTTAAACCTCATTAATTTTATTTTAAAATTTAACAAGTTTTCACCTTTACCTCTAATAAATATTTTAATTTTTTACTGATATTTTTATTTAAAATATTTAATAAAGGCAAAAATGTAAAGATGAGCATTTAAAATTGGCAAATACTCTATAAATATGATTAATTTTTTTTTCTCTTTTTAACTTATAAATAGAATCAGATCAAGGAATATATCATAATGTTTTAAGTATTTTTGGCCAAATATTTTAAAACTGATTTTTGGAATTCTCCCATTTTTCAACCAGGGAATATATATATATATATATATATATTATATAATACTCGTGACAGAGCCTTCCATCCTATTGACTATAAATCCTTTAATTTCAACACAGCTAAAATATAGAATATTTAATTTGAAACCAATCACATGAGTTTGACCTATAAAAATTATTTTTTTAAATAGATTGAAATATGCTACGTGTAACATGGATAGGGTCACGGCAGGGCATTACCCCTATTCGTGTCCAGCCTGGCGTGTAGTTTGGGCCCGTTTTGTGGTCGAGTGTATTAGGTTGAGGTTGGCCTCATTGAATATATTTTTTATAAAACTAATAATAGAATTAAAAGTATTTTTTTAAAATTATATATGATCAATAGTTGCCTATTATTTTTACATAATATTAACTAATAACACCTTTTAAATTTTGAAAGGGGTTAAAAAATTATAACGATAAGAAATATAAAAAGATCATAAAAATAATATAACTCTCAAAACAAAAAAAATATCATAAATTAAATATTATTTACAAAAAATGTTATTAAAAAAACATATGTTTAGGCCAGGCAAGGGAGGGTTTGAATCTTACCCGGTTCTCAATCTGATGTATCTGAATAGCTCAAGCAAGTTTGGGTTGACCAAATTTTTGGGTGATGTGGATAGCCCAACTTATACTTTTAAGATTATGGTAGTACTTAATTCTAAATGTAACAATAATATACATAAACTTAATCATTTTGAAAACGCAAGCAGTAAACTAACTGTGAAAAGCATATCCTTTAAAGAAATTTTGATTTCAAGATCCTCAAATATTATTATAATCATGTGGGTGAGTCACTTTCGTTACAAAAATATATCTTATGTATTCTAGATAGATACTTTTGCATAATGATTTTGGAGTTTTTTCTATTTACAGCCATCATATATTGACTTTCATCGACTTCTGATTTTTAACATGTTGGTTGATATTTCATGCTTGATTATTGTTTCAGATTCACTTTGATTCTTCACCCATAATAATTCATAAATCATAAAGTCGTTGGCATTTATAGCAGATCCAGATGTATTTATATTGATCTACATATACTGTCCGAATCCTCTATATTCATATGTATTATACATAGTACATATATCCAGAGAAACAGGGAAAAATGCATGAATATAATTTTGAATGTATAAAAATATCATTTTCCAGAAAAAGCCAAAATGCCAAAATATGACCACCTACAGATAGAATAAATAGCAGTGAAAGCCCATGAACTTGTGAAACGTCATAGAAAGACCAAGGTAACAAAAAAAAAAAAAGAAGTAAATATATGAAAAAGCCCTTATTCATACGGCAGTTATACAGGTCATATGTAAATTCTAAAAATGTAAAAGTAAATATTTCTTTTCCCGTCCTGTTTGCGATTTATTTCTGGGAACTTTTAGACTGTAATTTTTTTAATCTCCTTTTAATATAAATTGACCCTTTAATTAAAAAGAAGAAGCAAATTCCAAAAGTTTAATTGCGATCTTCAAAAAAGTTCAGTTATAATAATTTAGTTCCTCCAGTCCTTCATATAAAACACTTTTTAGAAGTTCTGCTTAGTTCTTAATACAAGACATCTTGTAATACTTGATGATAATTAATGAATTATTTCCAAAAATGCCCACAAATATAATTGGTTCATTTGAGTGACATGTTTGACTTTAAGATTTAAAAGTGCTAATAATTTTGATTAAAGGTAATTTGGGATTTTTATATATTTTTTAAAAAAATCAAGACTCTTAACTAATTTTAACTCCTTTTCTTAATTCTTGTAATTTAATAAAAAATATTTTATAAATAGGATTGGAGGGATTATATAAATATGCTTGTAAACGAACTGTAAATTGTTGAAGTTTGTGAATCTCAGAATTTCATTTGCAAACTCTAAAAGTTTAGCTGCGAATTCCAAAAGTTCGATGCATGCGATTTATAACCCATTTACAATTAATTAATCTTCTACAACTTTTTCCAATATTTGTAACTAAGCTTTTCAAAAAGCTTCCAAAATTCATGGTGCTTTAATGTCATTTTCTTATTTTAGTGGTCCCAATGTATATAGAAGCATATTTTGTCATGTTACTCCCAATAAATTCATAAATGAAAATTAAAGAAAAGAATTTATATACACCTAACAGGTATTCAATTCATGAACCAAAGCTACCAAATAGAGTTGACTAAATCCAATATTAATATATATTTTTCCCTTCATCATCATCATTCAAATGTTGTTCCATATCTAATTTAACAGAGCCATGGTTGAGACCACTTCAGCTCCAATCCAAAGCTCTTCAAGTGATCATGATAGACCCTCTAGAGGTGGCTGGCATGCTGCCATGTTCATCATCTGTAAGCTCTCTTTCAATCTTCTTCGAGATCTCCTTTATCTCATCATCATCATCATCTATTTTTTCATAGACACTTCACAGAAAGTTGAATTTGGATAAACTGAGTTTCTCTTCTGAAATTATTACAAGCAAATGAGTTGTTCTGAGTTGATGATCTGATCTAGGCTCTGTAATATACCTTGTCTATGAACACTTTAATTTGAATGATAATGACATGAGGAATATATTATATATATATTGATGATGTGTGTGTACAGTTGTGGAGATGGCAGAGAGATTTGCATTTTATGGATTGAGCGGAAACTTGGTGAGTTACCTGACGAATGTTTTGGGAGAGACAACACCAGAAGCTGCTAAGAATGTCAACACTTGGGTTGGTGTCTCCTTCATCTTCCCTTTGATCGGAGCTTTTGTTGCTGATTCATATCTTGGTCGTTTCAAGACTATCATCTTCTCTTCCATCATCTATTTCTTGGTATTTCACCTACTTTCCCAAATCATTTCTTGTTATTATTATTTGAAAAATATAACTTTCGTGCTTGAACTTTTGTTTTTTTTTTTTTGCAATTATATTGATTCAATACTTAATTGACTTAAAATAATTCAATCCTTATAGTTTTTTTATTAAGTAGAACTCACTCCCTATAATTTTTTAAATCAATAAATAACAAGGATTGAGTTGTAGTAAGTCAAATTTTAAAAAATAAATCCATAATTAAAGCAAAGTTTATGAACCAAAAGGTATATTATCCCTTATTTTAAAAAAGAACAGAGAGAAATGGTAGTGAATTTGGTCCTGAACTTCTGCTAAACGCTGGGCAGATTTTATTGGGCATTCTTTATTGGAAATATGGAGAAAGTATATAAATAAAGAAAATATAAAATTTTTGCCCCAGTTTTTTTTCAATTATTGATTCAATACCTATAGTTTTTTTATTTGAAACCGCTCGTTCCTTATAGTTTTTTGACTTGATGAAAACCAATCCCTATGATTCTTTGACCCAATAAATTGCAAGGACTAGGTTATATTGAATCAAAGTTTAAGTACTAAGTCAATAATTAAAAAAAGTTTAAGAACTATATAAGTAATATTATTAAACTTGAGAGGAGCCTTTTCTTGACAACAAGTTTGAGTTTGGTAAAATTGATGGACGATGCAGGGAATGATTTTGTTGACACTATCAGTAGCAGTGATTCCAATGCATAGCAGAAAATTAGTGTTCTTCATGGCACTTTACATATTGGCTATAGGAGAAGGAGGACACAAGCCAAGCGTTCAGACATTTGCAGCTGATCAGTTTGACGAAGACTCGCCACATGAGAGAATGGCCAAGATCTCTTTCTTCAATTGGTGGTACTTTGGACTTATCACTGGTGCTGTTTCTGCCATTTTGGTTGTTGTTTATCTTCAGGTAATTCATTTTACATTTAATATCTCTTTTTTATATGGTTATTTGACTGTCTCAGATTCAAGTATTATTACACTCAATTCAAAGCAGCTTTCCAAAAATATTTCTTGCACTTACATGAGTTCCAGACTTCATACTTTCCACATACTTAACCATGTGTTTACATTTTCTTTTTTAAATAAATTACGTTGATGGACCTTGTTTCAATTTTTTTTTTTTTGACATAAAAGTCAAATATTATCGTAAGCATAACGATAACACGCAAAGGCTAGGAATGCTACATGACCAGCATCATTACTTAAGCTAGGAAGGCAAACAAGAAATAGCTTTAGCGGAGACAAGTTAAAAAAATATATATATACTCTTTCCCTACCATGTAAGTCATTGTTACCTAATTCATATTTTTTTAAAAAAAAAAATTGGTTAAAACGTTAATTTTTTTTTTGAAAATTTTTGTATGTTTCTAATTGTGTGTGTGTGAATATATATATATATATATATTTAAATATAATAAATATAATATTTAATTTATTTAAAATAATTTAATTAATCACTTGAGTAGAATATAATAAAAGTATAAATAATATGTATGTATGTATGTAACCCACCTAATGTCCAATGTTTTTGACCAAGTGAGACTTTTAGAAAAAGTCTTATATTGTGATCAAGATTGAGTAAGATATATGACCTAATCTAGAACTTATATCGGATCTATATCAAGTTTTAATTTTTTTTAATTATACAAATCTTGTTTTCATCAATAAATATAGGGTTATCGTTTAAAGCACAGACATCTAGTATCCCAGAACAAGAAAAGATCCTTGTCCTCCCCACCCCCCCCCCGGGCCTGAATTCCTTTGGTCTTATGAATATGGGTAAATAGTGGCCCAATCAAGTGGACTGGCTCATCAAAATTGGGCCAGACTTATTCTTAAATCCTCTGTTGGGCCCAGTATAAGTCTACCTAGCCCAGCAGGCATGGAAGTAGCATTTGGTAGGGCCCAACATTAAGCCTAGTTAACGTAACCCACCCTTGCGGACGAGCCTATTCAACATATATTTAAGGACATACATAAAATTAAGTAAAATAATTTTAGACATGGTAATTATTTTTAAGGACTAAATTTAATATAAAATTTAACTAGAAAATTACCACTAAATATTAGTAAGTTTACCGTTTTAAAATTTAGAAATAATTTTTCTATCATTTTTTTAAAAATTATAATAATTTTATTCTTTAAAAATATTTAGGATTTTTAAAATCATTAAATCTAATCCTTTGAAAAATATGAGTTCTAATTTTTCTTTGACCCTCATTTTGCTCTTTTTTCCTTTGTTGACAATTTATGAATTTAGGATAATGTTGGGTGGACCGTTGGGTTTGGCATATTGGCGGCGGCTATAGCGGTGGCTTTTGGTATTTTCTTGCTTGGTATAAACAAGTACAGAAAACAAGGGCCACTAGGAAGTCCCTTCACTATGGTGGCTCAAGTGTTAGTAGCAGCTTTTCAGAAGCGGCACGTGGATGAGACGCGCACCGGAAGAGGTGTCTATCATGGAAAACTCACAATGCATGGTGTTATTGTGGACACAAAAACTAGAGTTTTGGCTCGTACCAAACATTTCAGGTATGTTAATTATAAAGGCGAAATTGTGCATTAGATGGGTGAAAAATTTGGGAGGAAAGTCGACCAATACTTGAAGAACATTACAGATTCTATTATTTGCTATCGAATTTTAAAAAGGTCTTTAAGAATCTACATTTAGTGGTGGAGCCACGTTAGAATGACGGTATATAAATGTATCCCAATCTTTAAAAAAAAATTATAAGTAAGGTATGTAAATTTTGCAATTTTCTATCTCCTACTTATAATATTTTACATTTTCTTGACTAAATAAAATATATTTGGGCTCGAAAGTTAGTTATGTGTGTCATATTTTAACAATCAAATATAAACTATGAAAAACATATTTACAAGAAAGATCATATTAAATTTTTCACTATAATTTTAAAAAATGATAATAAATTTACTTATAAATTGTAATCCTAGTGTAATTATTTTTAAAAAAATATTAATTTTTAAATTAATTTATCTTGCACCTCTTAATGTTTTGGTCTTGGCTCCTCCAGTATCTACATTAATAATTCTTGAAGAAGGATATTTCATATTTGGTACTTCATTACAAAATTTTCACCCATTTGGTTTTATGCAATATTTTTCCTATCATAAGTTATCTTCTCTTTCAAAAAAATATGATTATTAGATTTAATCCTCTACTCTATGTGAATACTAAATTATAAAATTTACACTTTTTGACGAGTTTCAGATTTTTGGACAAGGCAATGATAATTGATGAAGTTGATGCATCAAGCAACACAACAAATCCTTGGAGGCTATGCTCATTAAACCAAGTGGAAGAAATGAAGCTAGTTCTAGGCCTCATACCCATATGGCTAACATGCTTGTACTTCAATTTAGTGCAAGCTCAATCATCAACCTTCTTCACCAAACAAGGTAGCACAATGATTAGATCTCTAGGACCTCACTTCACTATCCCACCGGCTTCGCTCCAGTGCATCTCCGGCTTCGTTGTCATCATCTTCATCCCAATCTACGACCGATTCCTTGTGCCCATAGCAAGAAAATTCACAGGCAAACCCACAGGCATCACAATGCTTCAAAGAATTGGCATTGGCTTGTTCCTATCTGCTCTAACCATGTTTGTGGCTGCCCTAGCAGAGTTCAAAAGGCTTAAAGTAGCAAGTGATCATACTCTCTTGGACAGTCCAAAGGCAATAGTGCCAATTAGGGTTTGGTGGATGCTTCCTCAGTACATGTTGCTAGGGTTTGTGGATGCTTTATCCATTGTAGGGCTTCAACACTTGTGCTATGATCAAATGCCCGAGGCATTGAGAAGCTTGGGAGCTGCATTTTATATCAGTAATGCTGGTGTTGCAAACTTCATAAGTAGTGCTATGATATCTATTGTGGAAGGAGCAAGCAGAAAGAAATGGCTTGGGAATAATCTGAATAGATCACACCTTCATTACTATTATTTTTTGCTTGCAGGAATTGGGGTTTTGAATTTGAGTGTTTATGTTGTTGTTGCTAAGAGGTATGTTTACGAGAAAGTTGAAGAATATGATGAAAGGAAAGAGGAAATGATTATAAGGGGTTCTAATGAACGTCACAATGAGCATGATGAAGAAAATGCTCGTGGTTAAGTTTTTTTCTAATGGATTAGGCATTGATTGTTTCTAAAAATAATTAGTGCAACAAATAGTATTATTTGTTATAAATTTTGTATTTTTGGTTAATTAAGGTATCGGGCTCTGCTCGTTACTTAGAGTCCAGATTGCAAGGCACGCTATATGAATATGAAAATTAGCTAGGTGGGTGTCCAATAAGTTTTATTGTTTTATATATTAATATAGAAAAAATTAATATGTAGGTTCTTCTAATTTTTTTAATTTTAAATTAGATTCTTATAATTTATTTTGTTTTAATCAAGCTTTTATAATTTAATTGATTAAATATATTAATCTTTGAATATTAAAATTAACAATGAATGACTAACTTTTCCAAAAACAAAACATTTTGAAAATTTATAAAAAATTGGATTTAATATTTGGGCCAAAATTTAAAAAATAAAATTTGATTTAATACAATGCTTACATTTTTATTCAATTTTTCATGAAAATTTTGTGTGTATAAAAAATTATTTAGAAGACATAACCGAATTATATAAAATTAAAGTTATAAAAATTATTTAATTGTTACTAATTATATGAAAATTAAAATCAAACAAGTACATAGTAGAAGATCCAAAGATGGTTCATAAGGCAATAACACATAATCAAGATCACGTTGCGTTGAAGAAATGTTCTTTTTTTAAAGGATTATTTTGACACATTTAATTAGTTGCAAATACTAAGACATTTTCAATGAAATACTAATTTTCCATATATTAAAAAATGTCGTCGTCCTCTGCCATAGTGCAACGTTAATATATTTCCCAAGTCTTAAAAAAAGTGTCAGTCATCTTTATCTCTAAAGAATTAATGAGTCTGCTCTAATTTTGTATTATTAAGAAAATCACGTATTTTCATTGTAAGTACAAATAAATTCTAAACTTTGGTCAAATGTCTTATTAATTTAATCAAATTGTTCGCTTAAAGAGCTCTAATTGTATTGATACGTGCCGGCTTAGGCTACTCGCGGATTGCGTCTTGTTTAAACAACTTAGACGCAAAGGCATCACCTTCTTCTCCAATTGGGTTGTGATTTGTGAAGAGATTTTCTTTCTTTTCTTTTTTTCTACTTGATTTCTGCAACTACTAATTTTTATTTAATTTTTTATTCATATGGCTTAAATTACCAACCTTGCTTAAAGAACACAGACATTTTTTCTACTCGATCCAATTATTGTTTGTGGCATTATTCTAGTATATATTAATATACATTTAACAGTTCAAAGAAAAAATTGAAATAATAAATATAATGGGGAAAAAGGGGGGGGAATGGGAAAGGAATATTGATTACTTTTGATGAAAATTTAATTTAATATTTTTTTCAAAAAAAGGAAAAAGAAAATTTAATTTAATACAATGTTAAAGTTATTATTGTTATTATTATTATTATTTTGGCCACTGTTATTATTAATTTTTCACGAAAGGCATGTTAATTTTTTATGAAAATTATATAAATTTTGATTTATGAAAATTATGTAATTAATTCTAAAATTATATAATCTTTTAATGAAAATTTAATATTTTTAAAAATAAAAAAATTAACAATTTTAATCTTGAGAGATTAATAAATTAGACTGCTCATATTATAAGTGATTAAAACAAAATAAACTGTAAGAATTTAATTCAACATTGAAGTAAACTATAAAGACTTGTACATTAATTCTCCCTAAATTTTATTATATATAAATGTTTTTTCTAAAAATAGTCAGGTTATTTTTGTTATTCGTATGAAATTAATCACTTTTCTATTCTCTTTATTTTCTCCTGCTCAATCAAGCATGAAGAGATAGAAAATTACTCCTCCAATAGAGTTGTTTAGCTAGTTAGAAGTGCCGAAATATCGAATCACAAGACATTTAAGGAAAAAAAATTAATACTTTCATACAAAAGGTTTTATATGAATATATCATGAGAACTGTTGTTATGATAAGAGTAAATTAAAGGAGTGATTATTATTTAGTAATACCGGATAATGGATGATTTTGTTTGGCAAATTAGAGAAAAAAACGATAGCACAACATTAAGGAAGCAAGTTTCTTCTAATTCTCATATATCCAAGCAGACGTAGCCATGAATACAAGCTAAGTAATTAACAGCTAGACAGTAGTACATAACGTTGAATTAAAGCCATCAACTTATATATATACATATATATATATATATATATATCATGATATGACTTACTTTAATATATATAGATGACATGTTGACAACGAGTTCTTTCCCATTCTCAGAGCTAATTAAGCAACTTCATATAGATGCATCAATGGATACAACAAATGCAGCTTCAAGGAAAGCCAACTCTTCAAGTGATGATCACAGACCCCCAAGAGGTGGCTGGAATGCTGTCATCTTTCTCATATGTAACCTCTCTCTCTCTCTCTCTATCTCTCTCTCTCTCTCTCACGCACGCACGTATCAATATCATCATACTTAATGTATGCTTTTATCTTTTTCTTTCTCTGTTCTTTTCTTTTTTTCCTTATAAGTTGAAAAGGTTAAAAAATAAAAATAAAAAGTGTTGAGATAGAGATTTATTCTATTAATATATACTCTCTTTCAAAAATGTAAGACATTTGTTAAAAAATTAGATGTTCAAAAATATAAGACATTTTTAGCCTTTTAAGGTATAATCATTGCTTTTTTTTTTTCCAAAAGTACCCTTATTGATAATGAATTTATATTTACTGTAGGGTGTTTAATAGGGGTAAATATAAAAAGATAGGATTAGTTAAAAAGTAGGTAACTACTTTATTGGGGGGTGAGATTCGATTAAAAATGCCTTACATTTTTTAACGGAGAGAGTAGTGCCTATTAAAATTTATTCTACTGAGATTTAAGGAATATCTATTAAGAAAGAAATTGAAGGCATGTTTACATTTTTTTTTGAGGAATTCTACAATTTTTTTCTTCTTCTTTCTCATATGTAACCTCTCTTTCCACCCTTTTCTCAAATACATATATATATATATATATATATATCATCATACTTGATGCTTTTATCTTTTTCTTTCTTTGTTCTTTGTTTGGCCTAATTAAGTTGAAAGCTCGATAATAAGGAATACAAATTGACAAAAAAATTTAAAAGCATGTTTATATTTTTTTGAGTGAATTATACATTTTTTTGCATAAATTTTGCTATGCTAATTTACACAGCTGTATGTTTTTCTTATATTTTCCCACAAAAAAAAAATCTGTGTGTATTGTGAGACTAGAAAATTCAAGGAATAAATTTAATTTTGAGTGAATCAATGCTTGAGTTTAAAAAAAAAACTTAAATGCCTCTCCACACATATTTAATTTGGCATGTGATACTTGAATATTAAACATGAACAAAGTAAAACCGATACTTAAATACCCTCGTTACTTGTGTAAGTGGTTGAAAGTTTAAATCTTAACTCTTGTATATGTAATAATTTAGTTTAGAGAAGTCTATCATTTGCCTTAATTACAAGGAGATATCATTTGTTGTCGACGGAGCCTACTTACTTTTAAAACATAATAATGCTTGAACATGGCTTCCTCGTATTTATCTCATATTATAGTCTTGTACCAGTCCAAATCTTAAAACCTACATAAATCATGAAACGCAGTTGTGGAGATGGCAGGGAGATTTGCGTTCTATGGCTTAACTGGAAACTTGATAAGTTTCCTCACCGATGTTTTGGAAGAGACAACATCGTCAGCTGCTAAGATCGTCAACACTTGGGCTGGTGTCTCCTTCATGTTTCCTCTGCTTGGAGCTTTCATAGCTGATTCCTACCTTGGTCGTTCCAAGGCCATCATCTTCTCTTCCATCATCTATTTCTCGGTACACCCATGCACCTTCTTAGAACCGATGATCGACTCTACTTTACACAAAGTCTGAGAAATAAGCTACACTACTCTTCATGACTTATAGATTGATGATTTTCCCCAGCTGATCCTCAACAGTGTTAATTAATTTTGACATGTAAACGCAGGGAATGCTTTTGTTGACAGTATCAGTATCAGTTATTCCTTTGAACAGTCGAAAGGCAGTGTTTTTGGTAGCACTTTACGTACTGGCGATAGGAGAAGGAGGACAAAAGCCAATCATTCAAACATTTGCAGTGAATCAATTTGAAGATTCTTCATCGATGCAAGAGAGAATGGATAAGAGCTCCTTCTTCAATTGGTGGTACTTTGCAACTGTAATTGGTCAAGTGTCTGCTCTTTCCATTGTTATCTATGTCCAGGTATATTTCCTCCTCCTTCGTACATCATATTCTCTCAGGACATACAGTCTTAACTACACAACATCATGGAGTTTAATTAACAAGACCCACTTATAATACTTATTTATTTCTCAAGAGTGGATGGGCACGATGTCTCTTGTAATACTCCAACCTTCCAATTTTTTTTTTTCATTTGGAATTATTAGATTTTATATAAAATGAGAGACATTTTAATATTATCTAATGATGAAATGATGCAACTTTTTGTGATTTTTTAAAGAAAAATATCCTCAAATTGTGTAGATTTGATTTGTTTTACTTTCTATGAAAAAATGTGGGGAAAAAACCTAGAACGATATTAGAATCAAAATGTTTCTTATTTTTTCTAGAATCTAATTATCAAAAGAAAAAAAAAGAGAAAAAATTGAGAGATTGGGACATTAGGAAGGTGGGATATAATTAGAAGCCCTTATTAGTGGGTTTTGAACTTATGTTCATGTGGGAAGAGTCATGTTCTTCTCAATTCAATCAACACTCATTTGGCAAATAGGATGCTTCAATTTAGTCCTATTTATGAAGTAGAGAGAGTATTTATTTTGCCCTATTAAGGCACCTCAATGATTATTATACTATTTTTATCTTTACTTTTTTATTCCTATTAAATGTTAGAAAGGTTATTAAACCATGTTAGAGTATTTTAGTTTTAAAATATGTATATTTAATAAGGATAATTTTAAAAACTGGTTGAATTTTTTGACACAGCTAATAGAGTTTATAATTTTCCTTAACTTTAATGAAAATGCTGTAAGTGACTTATAAATAAAACTAAAAAAAGTACTAGTATATATTTAGTTAAATGACACACACATATATACTAATTATAATATATAGAATTTTTTTACTCCTTTCGTTAGAATTTATTTTCTTTTTTTATGCAAATAGGATAACGTGGGGTGGGCAACAGGGTTCAGCATATTGGCAGGAGCTTCGGCGGTTGCATTTGCTATTTTCCTGAGCGGCATGAACAAGTATCGTCCACAACTGCCTCTGGGAAGTCCTTTCACTTCGCTGGCTCAGGTGGTCGTAGCGGCGGCTCGCAAGTGGCGCGTGGATGAGACGCTCCCTGGAAGAGGTGTTTGTCATGGAGATACTGTCAATGGCCATTTGCTTTTGGAGCCTCAATGTATGACTTTAGCTCGGACCAAAAAATTTAGGTATTTATATAATATTCTTATCTTTTGTGAAACGATTATTTTATTTTAACTATTTCTTTTGAAATGCATACTACCTTTTCTTCAATAATAAAAGTAAACATATATTGAGATAGGCATAATATTTCATTTAAGTATTTAGCTACAATACTCTAATAATATATCTATCAATTGTTACTTATCTGTTAATTATAAGTATTAAATATAGTTTTAACTTGGTTATCCAAAGCTGACTTCAATTGTAAGCCTAACCCAAAATCTCGTCATGCATAAAAAATATGCATTTAGCTGGTATGATAAGATCATTCATTTTATTAATTTACATACGGTATACTTGTGAGTCTTACAAAAAACAAAACATTTATTAACTATTCCTACATAATTGTTTTCTTCTATAGAATTGAGGATTTAAACCTTGTTTTGGGTCACTCTCCATATTGGTCTATCTGATTGACTACAAGAGCCTCATATGGCTAACAAGCAACAAGAATACAATACATTATATTGTAGGGGTCAAATTAATTTATTTTTTGAGTAACAAAAAAAATTAAATACTTTATCAAAAGCTCACCATCTCCTAATAGAGAAAAAATAATGAGTATTATATATCCCAACATTAAAAATATACTCATTCTTCAGTAATCCGCCACATACGCATCCGCATCTTTTGCATGTGTATTACTAAATTTCATTAAAAAATTTCCTTAGAGTAAATCTCCACGTTAACTAATTAATTGATCTATATATCACGTCTTGAAAAATATATTAAAAGTGACCTTACAACTTCTAACTTGATTCAGATTTCTGGACAAAGCAATGATAATTGACGAGATTGATGCATTAAGAAACACTAGAGATCCTTGGAGGCTATGCCCATTAAACCAAGTGGAAGAAACGAAGCAAGTCCTTGGCTTGACCCCAATATGGTTAACCTGCTTGTACAATAGTATAATCCTGGCTCAGCTCTCAACCTTCTTCACCAAACAAGGCAGCACAATGGTCCGAACCATCGGTCCCCAACACTTCACCATCCCACCAGCATCACTCCAATGCATCACTGGTTTCACCATCATCCTCATAATCCCGATCTATGACTTACTCCTTGTCCCTCTTGCCAGAAAATTCATTGGCACGCCGATCACTGGCATCACGATGCTTCAAAGAATAGGTGTAGGTTTGTTCTTATCTCTTGTAACCATGCTTGTGTCTGCCCTAGTAGAGAACAAAAGGGTAAGAGTAGCGAGAGATCATTATGTCATGGACGATCCGAAGGCAATAGTGCCAATTAGGGTTTGGTGGCTGGTGGCTCAATATGTTTTTTGTGGGGTTTCTGAAGCATTTGGGATTGTGGGGCTACAACATTTTTTGTATGATCAATTGCCAGAGGCTAAGAGAAGCTTGGGGGCAGTGTTTTTTATTTGTAATGTGGGGATTGGGAATTTTATTAGTAATGGGCTTATATATGTTGTAGAGGTTGCAAGCAAAGGAAGATGGCTTGGAGATAATTACCTAAATAGGTCACATCTTGATTTGTTCTATTTTCTTCTTGCAGGATTAGGGCTTTTGGATTTAGGTCTTTTTGTTGTTGTTGCTAAGCAGTATGTGTATCGAAAAGCCCCCCAAATTTCCACTAACTCGTTCTCATGATATATATAATCTTTTTTTTTATATATGTGTGAGTGTATAAGGTCACCTTTTGTGTAACTTATTGAAAATTACAAAGTTAATATTTTAAAAATTTTTATAAACTATTTTATTTTTTGTTTTAATTTTAATAAAAAATTGATCTGATTATCGCATAAATATTCGTATATAAAGAAGTAGGCACATTTTTCTTAGTATTGCACAAAAACTAGTAATTAAGTCATATTATTTATAAATCGTGACATAAAATAATAAGACATTCTCACACATGAAAACACACGCAAAATTAAATATGCTAGTTAATATATCATATATAAATGTAAAATTCATAGAAAATTACAATATTCATAAAAGTATAAATAATTCATTTTTTCCTTATATTCAAGTAGTACACAAAAATGTGCATTAATATAAACTTTATAGCAAGCCACATCAATGATCAGTTATAAATTATGAAGTTCATTCCCTATATTTGTGTTACACAAAAAAAAAAAAAACTTGTCATGTTAGTCCAACAAAGATTAGTCTAATTATTAAAGATTTGGTTCACTAAAGTCGGGAATCAAATTTTGCTGCTGAGCGCGCTCTGACTCTGAAACCATGTCCTGCCTAGTGAGCCAAACTATTTGTACTTCGGTGTGATTCCTTAATGTTTCGGTGGCATATATACAGAACTCATGGACAAGAAAAACCGACTTAGAAAAAATCCAATTTATCAGTAAAAAGAAAAAGAAAAAATCCAATTTTTGTTAATCGGTGTCGCACGGGTATATGTCTCATCCTTTTGAATAGTGTGCCATTTAAACGAAAAAAAGGTACGTCACGTTTCTTCTCAATTAACAATCAATATAAATTTTTTTGGCCAACATATCAAGAATCAAAATATATATATATATATATATATAATTACCATTTAAAACGTGCGCTCATGCTTGGAAAAGTTTAAAATGAACCGTAATGATGAGTTTTGTAGATCTTATATTATATATAAACATATGGATATTCAATTTAGATTTAAGGTTTCATGGTTAAATATTGCCAAAAAAAATGTTTATGGAATCATTGAATGAATAACTTATCATTCAAATATTAGGGAAATACGTACATAACAATTGTAAGTACTATTTATACCTATAAAAACACTAACACTGTGCCTGACACTTTGGTAAACATTATCCTACTGCCTTACATTGTCTGACATGTTACCCATCAATATCAAGCTGCTGGTACTTTAATTTGCTTTTTTTTTTTTGAATTAGGTCCCAAAGTCTAATGAGATAAAAGATAAGTCAATGACAATATTGTGAAACAGTGAATTGAAAATATTGATTTAGATATTTGTAAATGTTAGGATGTCGAAACATGGATGGATTTGAATTGATATGGAAGTCTCTCGTTGGATAAAATGATAGGTTTAATAATAAATATAAAATAAAGATAAATGATCAATAAATTTCAGTTTTGTGAGTTAAGATGACAACCTTTCACTACTTATGCATGTCCACCTGTTTTCTCCTCCATTTATAGGTGGTCACTCACACAATTATTAACAAGGGGTATAGAACAAGGTTCTACCCAAGATCTAGAAATTCATTTTGCGCATATGTTTAAAGCTCAAAATGAAACTGATCACAATTGTAGCAAAGATTTATGTGTTCCACATCATTTGAAACTCGAAAATTGGGTTGCCCTAATTGTAGGAGTAGAAGTTGGTGTTTTTAACATCTTTAATATGAGGAACTTGTGAGTTCACACATGAGAAAAAGATTGTTAGAATGTTCAGGTATAAATTAATTTCAACTGATGTGAAAGTCTCACATTAAGTAAAGTTAAATTTAATAATTAATATCAAATAAAATTTATCTTTGAAGTAGTTTGAATTAAGATATGATGTCATTCAAATGTTCTTACCAAATTTATTCTCACCCCTCATTTCTGAATGGTCACTTTCCATTCATTGCTTCTTCTTTGTTTTTTTTTGGGGGGGGGGGGTCATGATTTCCCCTACATGGAGAAAAGACAAGAGAGACTCCCATCATAGAAGCCATATATAAGGTTGAGGGTTTCCAGTATAATCTCACAGCACCTCCAATCAAACTGATCAGGACAATAAGAGGCAATGCAATTGACAAGCAGAAGCTCTTTTAATAGCAAGAGCCTCAGTCATAAAAGCAGACATACAATACACATCTTTCGACAAAAACATTTATGAGACTCATTTATAACACTAAGTAAATATGAGACGCATCTATCGACAAAAACATTTACATCTGTTTAAATACTTATCCGCAATACATCCTTGGAGAATACTCCCTCCATCACTAAATATTAAGTATTTTTTTAGAAATTTATTTTATCCCTAATTATAAAAGGTGATAAAGATATTTTAAAGTAATTAGACAATTTTACCCTTATTTTAAAAAATAAAATAGATTATTAACTGTATGTTTCCTTATCATTATTATGATATTATTAGGAATAAAACTGAAAAACATTGTATTTTTATATGAGTTCAACTAAATAACAAATCTTTATTGACATAAGTGATTCAGTTAAAAACACCTTATATATAGGGATGGAGGGAGTAGTTTTCTTGCATTATATCTATTAATTGTTTTTTGGCCACATATCTATTAATTGTTTATAACTAATATAAATAGAGTAATTTGTCATGAAATTTATATTATTTAAATTTATTGATTATATCAAGTATTCATGACATTTCATGTCCACACATATGCATTGAAATCTAATAATAACAGTCAAAGATCAAAACGCTAACATATTTGTATTAGCATATGTATATATATATATACCTAGCTCACCACACACCACACAACATCACAAGCTGCTTCTTCTTCTTCTTCTTCTGCTTCTTCTCTTATAACTGAGTCAGCCATGGATTCCACCACTGATCCTTCAAGTGACCACAAAGCCTCTAGTGGAGGTTGGAATGCTGCCATCTTCGTCATCTGTAAGTTGCCCTATTATCCTCCCCTTCTAGATTTCAACCTCAATTGATTTCACTTTGCAAATTGGGTTTTAAGTTTTAACAATTGCTTTTAAATCCTATACAATCCATCGCACAACATTTCAGTCTTGTCTGCAACAACTATGAATCCCCTTCATGTACGGAGTTTGAAAAACAAGCCTTGTTATACTTTTTATGTTAGGTCTATATATAGAAATATAAATTTCATTTGTCCATTTTATATAACTCAAAGGAGTGTGATGAAGCACTACTCGTATAAAATGGATAGCTACAGTTTTCAATAGGACAAAATTGAAAGAGACTTGGTCATCCATTTTCCAGCATGTTGGCTCAAGTTCCCATGTAATATTATGTACGATTTAAATTCTCTTATTCAATGAATGTAGTAACTTGGATTTCATCAAACACTACTTGACAGCTATCAAAATACATTTCCTTTCAAAAATTTTAAAACAATCCTCACGATTAAAACACCTTTAGCATACATTATTCCCTTCAAAAATTTAAGGTTTGATATTTTTAAGTATTATATGACAAAATCTCTAACAACCGTTCACTTAAAATAACAATTATTATCATGTCATGTGCATGATGAGACACTTCTTGAATGAATGAATTTGTGACAATCCAAATCCCATTATATAAGAAGCAGAGAAAAAAAAATTATAGTCATGCTTATCATTTTGTAAATACACATACACATGCTCATGTTATTATTTAACCTTCCCTCAAGCATCTCAGCGTTTGGTTGTGGAAATAACCAGCTCAAACATTGAATTATATTCATCCACAAATCTAATATTATATTCATTAATTTCTCATAAATTCCCAAATTTAAATCAACATCATCATTTGAGACTATCTTTTTTTTTTTTTCACGACCACGCAGTTGTGGAGATGGCAGAGAGATTTACATTCTATGGATTAACTGGGAATTTAATAACTTACCTCACTGATGTTCTAGAAGAGACAACATCAGCAGCAGCTAAGAATGTGAACATCTGGGTAGGTGTCTCCTTTGTCTTTCCTTTGGTCGGAGCCTTCATAGCTGATTCATACCTTGGTCGTTTCAACACCATCATCATCTCTTCCATCATCTATTTCTTGGTAATTAATTACTCCCTAACCTACTAATAACTTTATCTATAAGGAGAATGACAATTAAGTCTCAAAAAAGAGTAGAAAAAAAACAGTTAAGTTGCTAACAAAATTAAAAAAAAGTTATAAATATTGATTTAAATAATTGAAATGACATAATTTTAAATGTGACTCTGAATTTATAACTGATCAGATTCTTATTTTTAGTTGTTTATATAAATATATGCAATTTATTTTTTAGAAAATTATATATATATATATATATATCTAGGACAGAACTATCATCAATATAATTTTTGGGGACTTTACTGTCACTTTCCCTTATATATATATATATATATATTAAAGATTTTATTTAAAATTAATTAATTAGAAGGAAATGTTATTTACTTAGGAGGTTGTAGTTAGTTAATTAAATAATATCAAAGCGAATAACGTATTCAAAGAAAAATTTTATGCTTAAAATAACAGGAGTGTTATATGTCAAGGACCATGAGAAAAAATTCTTACATCAAGGACCATAAGTTTCACGGTTTGCAGACCAAAGCAACAAATTGCTTTTAAAAATGTTGAATTTGACGGTTTTAAATTGCAACCGCCAAATATATGTAATCTCGCACATGCACATTTAGCAGTTCTTCAATTAATTGTCATATATAGACCGTCATATATGTCTAATTCTGTAGTAGTGACTGCAGGGAATGATTCTGTTGACACTATCAGTGTCAGTGATTCCTATGCGTAGCAGAAAGTCAGCGTTTTTCATTGCACTTTACATATTGGCGATTGGAGAAGGAGGACACAAGCCAAGCGTTCAAACATTTGCAGCTGATCAGTTTGATGAAGATTCACCACATGAGAGAATGGCCAAGATCTCTTTCTTCAATTGGTGGAACCTAGGAATAGTAACTGG